ATCACTTGATTTAATTACATTTTTGAGAATATCACTTGTGTCTGAATTATCCTTGTGATTTTCTAGATTAGAGGTCATAGATTGATCTTCAACAAATATATTCCTCTTTCCAACTAGTAAGAGGTATTTTCATGATATGAATGATGTGATGGTGCCAAGTTGAATGCCATGTTCCTGTCCACCCTAATCATTTAATCATGAAGCTAGTTCTCTCTTTTTAGGGATACTCTGCTATAGTTAGTTTAAGGTAGTCATTTTAGTTAGAGCTGATGAAATATAGGGGAAGCAGCAGTGTATAGTTTGTTTTATGACAGTAGTAAAAGAGAATCTACAGGAATCTTTGTTCTGAGTTGAGATTTTTATTACCTCTGTATAGATGTTAATCACTTGTAAATACTGCAGACATCCATTACTGACTATCTACATTACATGGATTAATTGTTGTTTCTCTTAACCTACAGTCTTGTATTAAAGTGACTCCGACAATCAATCTTTACTAAGCCCAACGATGTTATTACACTTGAATTTGGGAATCCATTATGAACTGTTTTAACTTTCCAATATACACCTTGTACTGGTACTTTGAAAGAAAGTTGTTTAAAACCGTAATACAGAATTTAAAAATGTAAAACTTTTGTTATGTGATTTGTATTCTAGGCACACTTTGAAGGTTGACTAAGAAATCGGGGCTGATGTTTGAGTTGGGGTGGAAGTGGCAGTTCAGAGCTATGCATAGGATCTTTTATCAGTGTATCTGTATGCATCCTGTGCTTGATCCCTTAGTCATGCTTCCCCCTACACCGCACTGTTCAGGAACCAAATGCTTGAGTTTATTTATGAAATTTTAACATCACAGTGATGAGTGAATGCTAAACCCATTTTTCTCAGTTTTTGAAATAGCTCTTCCTAACACTAGTCTCTAAAGCCATAACATTCACCATCATAATTTCTACCCGGAATCTCTTGACATCTGAATCATAATTTAACCTACATCATACCAAATATATTGTATATAAGTATTTAAGAAAATATGTACAAAGCAAAGATTATTAGCATCGCATGTCAACTGAATGTAATCTTATACTCTGCACTGATCGACACATAACGATGTTTAAAAAAACCAAACTTCCCTGTACAACATTTTTTACAGAAACATAATTACATTCTACACATAATAATCTTAGTCTTATACATTGTCTGAAAACATAGGTCTGGAATTAGCAAGCCTTTGTTATACACATCCACAACTGATTTTTGAAAGTATTTGTATCATCATACGATAATCATTAAGCAATGAATGAAAAATTGGAAGGATTGATCATTTTCATAATTCATTTTATGTTGAGGAGTAATGCCAAGGAAGTTTCAAATATACAAAGAGCTGGTAAATGCTACATATCCCAGTCAAAATACTACATTTCCCAGTTAAAATATTTTTTCTCAATACAAGCTATAAAATTTGATCAATCAATGTTAACTCATCAGCAAGTCTCTCTTTCAATATAGGACCACAGTGAACAAATACTGTCTATTAGGTCATTGTATTTGGCTATAGACTAGCCTTCTGTCTGTCTGCTGTGAACCATCTTCATAGCTTATGTTTATGCTTTATCAATTGTTGTGCTTCAAAAAGTTTTATTTAATTTCCAGATCAAACTGCTTGTTTGTTTTATAATTATTTACTGAGCAAATTTTATAAGTTTATCTTTATTATTATAAATTTGGCAAGAACCGTAAGAAATTTTTATCACTCACAAGACGTAACTTGGCAAAAATGTTCAAAGCAGTAAAACAACCTTGGTATGTGCATTTTCAAGATGGCTACACCAAAAACAAAACATCCATTTTTTTCTGAAAATTGGGTATTCCAAAAAACATAGTCACTGATGTCTTTATTTGAATGAAATTTTGATTTCCTTGTGTTTGCCCTCTTTGTGTAGGGTATTTATTTGTAGCCATTACCTAGAGAAGATCAGGCGAAGGATATATTCGTGTATATTTGATGTTCTCCATTCCATATCAACCAGAGATTTACTTTCTTATTAGAACATGTGTGAAACACAACCATGTAATTGTTTAGAATTAAAGGAGAAGAAGAAGATGTTACTGACAAGTTTGAAGAGTTCAAGAAGTAGATCTGAGAACATGTGAGAAACTAGCACTATGGAGGATTATTTTGGTTAATCACATTTTCATGTATTACAACAAAATTTGTCTGGCCATACATAAAGTAGTTAGTAGACTATATATGCCGCCTGCAACATTGTTTAAAATCAAAAGTTATTGCATTAGAAAATGAAAACTCTCAATAATTGAATGAAATGGACTTTAATGTTCTGACCATCCGGGCTAAGCGGGGAATTTTGACCCGACAACAGTGTTTCTTCCTACTCTTAAATAGTCTTCATCAAATTTCAACTGTCAAGGGATCTTTTACATGCAAGCCAACATGTACTCAAGACCTCAAGTTTTTGTCCAATCCATATGATCCATATGATTAGATGCTGTTCTTTGCCAGGCGATCTGTCCTGCATCACGGACAAGGGGAAACCATGCAGGAAAATCCCCAGGAAGTTCCCCAGCCAACGAGATCGAACTGAGTATCTCCTGGTTAGTGAGCCATGGTGGCTCCAGTAGCCCTTGAAAGAAGGACAGAAAAATTAGGGTAAACCATTCCATCTATGTACTTCCCTTCAGTTATTTTCTAATACTTTCAATAGGGATCCAAGAACCCTAAATGATAAAATACCAAGTCTAAACTTATGACTTTATGTAATACATTGGAATGTGGTGTAAAATTCCCATTTAGTAAAATAATGTAAACCTCCCAAATAGTCTGCCATTAACTTGAGACATAACTTTTTCTCAAACCTGGCTATGGACTATGACAATGTTATGACTGGAGACAATTATTGCGTTAAGTGACAATTTGATGAGCATATTGCCTTTTGCCCTTATGGCTCCTTGCGCATTATTTTAGTTGATTGGCAGAGTAGAGCAACTCCTACGCCTAAATCTAGATTTAATTACTGTGTACATATGCTGATTACAGATTATGGATGCCATTCTTACAAAAAACTACTGCTTGTATGTTTAGCTGAGATTTCATTAAGCAGGTAAAGAGATCTGTACCATAGGTTTATCTCATTCAGATCATTCCTAAAGGACAAGTTTTCCTATCTTCAACCATATTTCATGATATTTATGATGGCTTGTCAGATAGTATTTCTCTAATGTTTTTGTCGTATTGTAGAGATGGATTGCTGTGTAGGAGAAGAATTATAATTATTGTAGAAGTAGGTACCTGTCTGTCTACATACACAAACAGTGATTATAATGGCGATTGGAGCTCACAAGCAGACACACAAATAACTTGGATTTATCATCCTCCATTTTTTGTTTTCTGGACTTTGTCTGTGTTCTAAATATTAAGAGCTATTCCCTAAAATAAATGAGAGAATTGCCATAAACAGATGATATACATTCATCTGTCATGAAATAAGGGGAAGTAATTGCTACCTATTACACATAACTTGATTTTAAAATCATTGACATTTGCATAATTTTATCATTTTGTCTGTGGTATTTTAAAAGAAAGCTGACAATTTTGCTTCTACATCTGTTAATGTGTCCATTGTATTTTTCACAAAAGATGTTTATATGCAGATATGTTTATAAATGGGAGAATATGTTTACAACACCTACGCTTCAAAATGTACGCAAAGTCACATTTTCAACAATAAACACCTGCATTTGAAACAATGCAGCCACCCGAGCCACCCATTGTATTTTCAATACACACAAGCAGACTTTTTAGAACTCCCAGAAATTCTTTATCTCAAATGTTTGTGGAAGGAAGAATTTTCTGAACAGAAGTTGCCAAGTTATCTACGCTGACTTTCTAAATTTGTAATAATGGAAAAAATTGTTACATTGCTGCCTGCTTGGTGTCTAAAATCAATCCCCTACTGAATATGTTATTTAAGTAATGTACATGCCCAAGGAATGAATTATAAATGCTACTACTTCACATTTCCTTTCAGTGGTTAACATCTATACTCTAAAGCATTAAATAAATAATGTGTGCGGTTCTATGTTACTGGGTAATTTTGATACATAAATGTACTAGTTTTACTTTCATTGAACTTGGAAACCTTTAGCGTGTTTGGTTGTAGTTGCTAATTAAACCCAAGATTGAAATGCCAAAAGATGAGGGTGGGGAAGAAAATCCATTGTGAAGTTTAAATTCCATTAGTCAGATTTTTTTGGCATCCGAGCACATTATCCATTATAAATGTTATTGGATTGGTAAATGAGATATGCCTTCAACAATTTCACTAAACCAATAAAGTAATTTTTTTTTGGAAGATTCAGCAAAAAATTTACCTTAAAATGTGAGGTCTTATAGGAAATGAAACTCCATTTAATTGATAGAAATTAAAAGATATTGGATAATGTATAGGGTCTTATAGAGAAAGTTTTCTTATGTTGAGTTGATAATTATTTAGATAATGAAGTTTAGTCTGTTTCATAGCTTATCACGATACCTGAGTGCGAATGGATAAATTAATCAATACAAGACAAGGGGTTTGTGTAAATTATTGTAAGGAGTTGAAAATGATATATTTTTATTCAATCATATCAATTTTACGAAGCTGGCAGGATGTTGTTCAGTGCAGAATCTAATCGGTACTGGCAACGATTATTCAACATTCTCAGATATCGTTTCAATTAATTCTATATCACTGGCCGACATACATTGCCAAACATCCACACACACCATGTCTTCATTATCATAGTTCAAATTGAACCCGCAAAACATATTTTCTGGCGTCGCTGGGACGAAAGAAGAATTTAATCAGCAAATAAATTTATCAAAGACGCAAGACAAAATTATCAAATATTGATACAATATGTTCTTGCAGATAAAAAAAACCTATGAAATTCAAACTAAACAAATAATTATTTTAAATAAAGGATAAAATGTATGATAACCTTACCTGTAGTTAAATGAGGCCATCCCATTGACACAAGGATCAAAATTGTCATATATAATCCATGAATCGTGTTCATTAGGTTAACAGTCATTGTGGTAGTCATAACTTTGTTCACATCACGTAAAAACTCTTTCTTTATAATAATGTAGTTGGTACATTCGGCGATAACCAAAATCCATTTGAGATGAGAATACCTGGAAACCGATTGTTCCCAATCCCATATTGTTTGTAAAGAGATTGAACTGAACTTATTTCACATTGGGAGAATTATTCCCGTCCACCACACTATTCAAAGCACTTTATCAATATTCTTCCCTTGATAAAACTGGAAATAAAACAAACGATTTATTCAGATTAATAAAACAATGTAATTTGTTGGCAATAAAAGGTTATTATACCAATAGTATTTGTTCTTTCAGCTTTTGTTACTTTGTAACTCATATAATTTTATTTACTTACTTAATTATATATCTATCAATATCTATATTATTGGACTCGTACTTTCCTTTGTGTGAGGACAAATGGTCAAGACTAACTGTTATTTGCACTGCTGCAAGTTGCCATTAACACACTGAACTTGACAATTGATTTTGTCTTTTCTTCTCAAAATTGTTTCACCAAAAAATAATGTCTATATTTGACTAGGGAATTACAAATAGGGAGGGGGTCTCAAAAAGTATTCAATTTCCTGCCTTGGCAAAGTATTGGTTTTCCCTTAAAAAAATTTGAATACAATTCTAACCGAACATTTCACACGTTTTTCAGGGCATTGCAGGTGCATAATATAATTTGTGAAGTCAATGTAATAAAAACATGTAATGGTTATTAACTATTTATTTGTATGATACTTTACAATATTTCATTCAAATTAGATTTTCCTTCCTCTTAATGCAGTGGTGGTCGGTACAGCATTAACAGTTCAGTAATATCATCTATCAAAAATATATTAACTGATCGAAAATTACAAATTAATAAAATAATTGAGAGTATATATTGCACTGACTATGAATCTGGACCCTGTTCGAATTCCAGCAGCATGAATCTGGGCCATTTTACAATTCAAGAAGTATGGTCTTCAAAGATAAACAAGAACAGACTGTTATTTACTATTTCCAGAAATGAGTAAAATCCACGTTTATCCAGTAGTTCTTAAATTCAAGTTCATTGAACTATTTCTATACAAAAGTACTGCAAAAGTTTGTTACTTATGTAAATTCCTCAAATGAGAAGTAGTGGTATTGGCTGTGTTGTGCACAAAAAGAGACTAAATACCCTTAGTCAGAGATATTAACAAAAGAGATATTTTTTAATTCTGTTTTTAATTTAAAATCTATATTTTAATATTCATTAATGCTTGGTTAGTCATTAGAGGCAGACAACAATTAATCTGTCAGTCAATTTAAATTATGACAGACTGGCAAGTAAACCGGTTGATCTGTTATGTTTCTTTAACTTATGTTTTAAATGCCTTAATACTTCATTCTTCAATAATTATATGTTAATGTCAACACTTTTATAGTAACTAATTTATATAAAGGCCATTGTATGTAAGATGAATCATTAGTTGGAGAGATCAGCTTAGGAAACCTATATGCTAGTTGAAGGTCTGATTTTTAGGAAACTATAACTTTTTTAATTGTTGCTGTTATTTATTTGCTCCTGAAATAAAATGTTGAGGATCCTTTCCAAGAATCTGTATTCATTTCTGATACTTAGAGAACAAATGTCCACAAGCTACATTCTCTGAAAGTCAAACAGTGTAAGTAACCTACTCAAAAAAGTAATATCTTATGCTTCGATTACTGGTATACAAAAAGATTTGTGAATTTTTTTTCTCCTATTGTGTATAACTTCTTAAGAATCCATGGTGGAAAATTGTAATCAATATTTGATGTTTTGTGAAGATCTTCTTTAAACCAGTATGAGAGTTTCTTGTATTTACACTTATCTAAACAATGAGATAAGGTGTCCTTTAAATTCTAGATTTAGCCTTGATGTGCTTGACTTGACTATTTCCAGATCTTCAACTCGTATGTCAAGTTACTTTATCAATAATTTCTAGATAAGTTTTATTCTGTTATTTAGTAGAAGCCTGGGAATTAAATTTTAAAAGCCTTCAACTCTATTACATTTCAAAAGGGTGTGTGTTTTCAGGGGCAATGAATGACATGTATCCAAAGAACTATAAATGTTTTCTGTGGACCCAACTCACAAGATTAATATGGTTTAAGGATTAATCGAACAAGAGGGTGATGTATGGTGATGTAATCATTACATGCTTTGTGTCAAAAAGGTGTATTTCTAAACTTTTTACATAGAAGGGTGGGATCAAAGGTCACATCAGCTAAATTTTATTCTTTGAAAAAGATTTACCATGTTTCAAGCCCCCATATTTAATGTTACATCCAACAGAAATTGCTTTGCACCAATTAGTAAAACAATGGGTTTCAATTGGTTCTGTAAGTGTACCTAGTTATTATTCAATGATCTGGAATTTAAATCATTCATATTACAAATATAGTCTTTTGTTTAACCAGTATAATAAAAGGATTGTCATCTACCCAATGACCTGTAAATTAATGACTATTAGAAATCCATTAAAATTGGATCTGTTGACCTTTGATATATATATATATGTAGTAAATAGTTTTAATTCTTCAACAATAGATGGTATTGATATATAGTACCGGTAGTATGCTTTCAATCTAATTATTAGATTAATAAAAAAAAACCAATTCACAGTGAAATTATAACTAATTCTGGTTGAGCTTGATTGATAAAATGTTTGGCCATTAAAGCTTGAGCGTAACCTTCAGAGTCTGATGATTACTCCACCAATAGACCTAGGTTCATTCGTGTTTTGTTTTTTTTTCTGAGAGAAAATAGATTGTCAATTTGATATAGGATAATAGAATTATATTGTTCTTTCTTTCTAGGGATTGGGGCTGCAACAGGGGCACAGTTAAACCAAGCTTTTATGAACCAGTAATGTTTTACACTCCTAATTTTTTAGTCAAGTTTGAACAAGGACATGGAAAAGGAAATTGATCAGTTTCCAATTCAAATTATTCTTAAACTTGATGTCTGCAAGCATGTACTCATCTTTGAAAATCTGTATGTTTGTAAATAAAGGAGGATCTAATATCAACTTATTAGTTTTTGTTTTTAGGTCTCAAGCAGCATCACATCTAGCAAATATTTATTACAACATAACATTGTTCTACAGAAATTCATTACATAACATATATTGGCGTGGTATTTTCTTAAATCAAATATGAATTTTTGATCCTTGCGGCATTTAACAAAACACATGTTGGATACAACGCAAGAAAAAAATCAGGTTATTAAGAATAGAAAGAGTTGCCAACAGTGCACACAGAGGCTATTATACGCAAAGAATTGACTGCTGAGGATCAAAGAATTACTATGAGGAATTTGAAGAACGGGTGAGACGCAATTTCATTTATGGGTATGGCATTCATTACTATCATGACTCTCACTTTCTTGGAAGCCATATTTTCACGCACATGTCTTAAAGAAAGCTTTGTGATTTTTTTTTATTATATTAGGAAATCAATAAATGATTCGTTATCATCGAAGTTTGATGCCCATCAATTAAGAACAATGTCCACACAGTAAAATTATATATTGAACCACAATGAATATATAAAAGAATTTTATATACAGTTGTCGAGTAAATATGGTTGATAATTGATACTGTATAAACACATCCCTATAGAAATGTTTTTTATGTAAAAAGAAAAGATGAGGAATCAATATAGGGTAAGAAATAGATTTAATTTAACAACTTGACATGTCATTTAATCAATAACTGGTATCAAGCTTTATATTTATTACCATCTTAGAAACATTACTCACATTATTCCCAATGTTTTTTGTTAATACACAGACAAATGGTTTGTTTCACCTGCCCCATTGAAGCTCTTTCATATCTCAGGGTTTTCCTGAATTTTGACAAAGCCTTATTAATTGAGACTTTGAGTGAAGATTACAAGAGATTGTATGTGATTAAGTTTCTAATCTAAACATTTAAGGAGATAGACAATTTGGTTTACTTGAAACAATATTTTTAAGAAATTGAGATATCAGTATTAAAGTAGACTACTGGTACCATTAAAAAGATTTGTATTGTTAATGCTGCTGTTTAAGTGTGGATTTTGAAAGTACTATACATGTATATCAGATTTCTATTAAGCAGACGACTTAAATAGCTGATCCACTAGTAAATCCTTAGCAAATAACAACCAAGACAGAGTTTCTATAATGAACTTACCATGTCCTTAATTGACCTATTTGCTTAGTTAATCCTGGTGTCGCCACCCGCCCACAGTGTGTGTTGTTCTTATTGTTCAGTAGTTGTGTGGTCAATGATCTTTCTACAGTAGATTAATGGCATTTTAAGTATTGGTCATTGTCAAACCATCCTCGTAAATATATCACTGAACCTATGCTATGGAAGAACTAACTCTCTTATCTTTCACCATGGCACAATAATAAATAACACAGTGGCCCCTGCTAGATATACAAAGTATTGATAGGAACAAAATGAGGACATACGGTTTCTTGTTCAGAAGTAGACGATGAAATCTTTTCATACTCAGCTATTTCTTTTTATTAACCTGACATTCTTTTACCTGGGTGAAGTCCAAACCTGTCTCCATTTATTTACATATACATCATTGAAAATAAAATCAATATCTTAATAATTGTTGATAAAAACTTAAAATTACCGAAATCAATATTTTATGGGGATTGATTATCTCTTTCTTCAAACCTAATGAATCGTAAAATTTTATGAAAGAGTAACACGAAAGTTTGCTGGATTTCTCCTTTTAATTCACACAGCAAGCTGTTTTTTCTTTATTTTTGATTGCATTGTATGCTATATAAAGTTCAGATCTTCTGTAGCTTTTAAAGGCATACAATTTTTTTTTATTAATTAGACTTTAAATGAGTTTTCTACTCAACTCTTTATATTATGATTGATTTTTTTTTCTATCATTGATTAAGGTTAAAGTAGAAATTCTATAAAACTTTACACCTTTTGTTTGCTTTTTCAGGAACATGCAATGATCAATCATTCAGCTCAAGAATTGCTTTTAGTCGAGTGATACATCAAAATTTGAAATCAATGATTTCTGTTGCTTAAGCCATTTAGTAGATATAGAGCGTGAGATTAGAGACTGATATGCTATACAACTACTAGTATTAATGAGCTATTCTAATTAATAATTAACTATCATACTGTTCAGTTTAGGTCAATAGTCGATTGTTATTAACTTGATCTACTTTATTATCTGGTTTTAATTGCTAAATTTTTGTAATAGTATGTATTTTTAGGTACTGATAGCTTTTTAACTAACTATGATTTATAGACGTTTCACTAAAATTAACAGGGCAAGATTAAGATGGTTGAATGAGTGCTATTCAGATGAGTTTTTAAGGCTAACAGAGGGACATTGCTTCAAAACCCATAATGTTTGCCTTGCTATGTTGACAACTGATGAAATTGATACTACATGTGTCTAGATTGCCCCCCTTCTGGTTGTGGTCCCAGCCCTATCTGACACATCTTATATTTATTGAAATTGGTCTTACAGCAAGATTTTATTAGGTGAAAAAAGGGACTATATGGTTAACAAGTCTGAAGATTTTCTCACTCAGAGCTAAGTACTGTGGTTAATAAATAATGAACAGGAACCGAAAATATTGGTATATTACACAGCTATATGGTAGATATACTACTATTCAGAAAACCAAATTATGTCGACTTGTCAATTATTATTATCTTGATGGTAAAGGCTATAAGTTGGTTGTAAACATAGACCATTTCACTTGAGATCGTTTACAACCTATCAACTAATCATTATCATATATACTTGACATTTGAAATCCCTAGTAAAAATACACTACAATATAGTACATAAGCCAAAGTCTACATGCTGTTAAAAGTCAAAGAAAATAGTGCAATCCAACCATTGCAACCAAGGTTAATGCCCCCGACAGACCAGGGTGGCGTTCTTACTGCGTTGGTGCAAAAAATGGTCGCAAAAAATGACTAACTCAAAAAAAGTCGCGCTCTTACCGCGACCTGTGCGATTATACAGCATTCTCACTGTGCAACTGTCACAACCTCTCCTTGCTTATGGCCTTTCTGTTGAGACCTATTGGTTTGGCTACAGCGATAATCACCGAACCCGTGATGCTCTAACCATGCTCGAGGGGTTCTTACCGTACATCTGTGTGCATTGCGACTGCATGTGCGTTTCTACTAAGTGATTACAATGACTATATAACCTGGTCAGTTTTTTGGAAATTTCAACATGATCATTGAAACACCTGTTCTTTTAGCAAGTCGCACATGAAAAGCATTGTGTCATAAGAGCGTAATGCAAACTTGGTAATAAGGACGTGGTGCAGTTGTACAACAGTCATGAAATCATCGTAATATCGCATAAAGTCCCCAAACGCTTGGTGGGGTTGTGGCAGACACTCGTTGGTCATTGTAAAGTCACCATGAAGTCACCGTTGCAAATGTTACAATTTTTGCAGTATCTTTGCCACGTTCATGGAGATGTTACAATCTCTCGTGACCTTCGTCACATAGCAGAACCTTGGCATTTGTTTTGAACATGCTCAAAACAAATGCAGTGATTCGACGATCATTGGCGACCATGGAGACCCCAGCACGATATCTGGCATTTCCAACACACTTTTAGCACGCTTATGGCGGTATTGACGCACTCTGAGACTATTTTCCGTCGCCGTACCAGCACAGGAAGAACGCCAATGCCAGCTGACAGGGGTATTAGTGAGCATTGGCGGCAACAGAATTTCTCAAGAAGGGGGACAAGGTGAAGTCTACAGTCATTTGTGAGGGGAAAACTTTATGTAGTTCTTGGGCCTACATTGAAGAAGATTAATGCATATGAAATCTTTTAGAATATTTAGATAATGATCTAAATTGGGAATTTATTTTTAAGAAAGCAGTGGAGCAATGGCCCACAAATGTCCCACTGCTTACTATACTAAATAATGCCAGTATTACCATCATATGCATTATATGCAGATTGTGGAGGGGTCTGCAACCCTGAGATGTGTTTAGAGATACTATTTTCATTTTAAAAATCAGATATGTTCAGACATATAACACATGGCTTTCATTTCAAAATTTTTTTTAATCATTTCGTACAAGGTGAGAATAATATTTAAGGAAGAATATCTGGGATCTTCCTATAAAATGAAAGTGGCGTTATCGCAGAAAACATGTGACTTTGTTGATAATCTCTCAGAGATGGATTATACTTTGACAACCTTTTCTGGTAAACTTTGTAGTTATGGATTTCATTAATAATTAGAGTAGATACACAGTCAGCCAAGTCTTGGAAAAGCTCAAAAACAATTAGACAAATGCAATTTTGTCAATATTCATAAATGAATTCGGGATATTTTTTTTTACAGCCCTTTTAATCATTTGGGTTAAGTATGCCTACGATTACCATTATAACTTAAGGGTTCATTCCACTTACATTAAGTTAATGATACTTGCACTTTTTACAACTTATTCCATATTAAATATGTAATATAATGATACTTGTTATTATTGTAACCTTTGAAACTATTGTAATCTCTTTTGTTTGAATAATTTTCCATTTGTATCATGGAATTTACAAATACCAGGGGTGACAAATTTATGTACTGGTATACATAATTAAAGACTTTGTGTTACAAATAGTCATTGAAGGATTTGACAACCAGTGGTTCAAAGAAGGCTAAAGGGTGCAATTTTTGTTAGATCTGACATTTTGTGGGCAAATTGGTTGTGCAGATTATTTATTGGGGAGGGGGGGGGGAGGGGTTGGTCAAAAAAGATATTAGTTTTAATACCATATTTATTAAAATTATTGTTTGTTACATTCTTTATGTTATTGTTAACAACAAAAACTGCAATCTTTGAAATTGCTAACCTTCAGGAATGCAATTACAAGTACTTTTTTTTTAAATCATTGGCTGGGCACATATAAAATATAATATGCATCTATAATTCAGAATATGAAAACTAAAAGGGATCTGTAAAACATACAAGACATGCATGTAACATACTATATTTAATATGTTGTTCAGTTCCACCCACATGTTATATATGATATTTAAAATCTGTTTAGTGTATAATCTTGTATATGCAATTGTTCGAATCTATTGTGTCCTATATGTGTGTCTAGAGACAGACACATGCAGATAGCTCAAGTAGATTCACTAACACCTTAACATTACTCCGATCTTGAATAAATAACTGTCAATGGGGGTGGTTCACGGATTTAAACTTTGTCTATTCTTTTCAAATGCTTTGCTTTGCCCAAATAATTATTTAGAATTAAACATAATGAAAGAAGGATTGGCCTGCAAATCCCATTGACTTCAACAAAGGATTTCATTATTCGTACAAAGACTATGATTACATGATTTATATATGAACATATATCAATAATGAATATCAGATTACATGAGGCTTTATATGTAATACAAATCAAGCATTTAGTAATTTTTTTTTTTAAACAACTGATCGATAAAATGTTTTAAGTCAACTCTATTAACTAGCTTAATCGAGATCAAATCAAACAAAATATTATCCTTATTAGTATATTATAAATATAATATTTTTAGACTAAAAATTAGAGTGAAATATAATGAAATATTTTTTTTGTTTTCATTTAAATTTTTTGGGGTGATTTTCAAGACCGATATTCATTTCAAAATGTTCATTTAGACTACATAAACCCAAAAACTTAAAAACGAGAAAATGATGTTCAGTAGTTGAAGTAAGTAACTACTGAGTTCAGTTGCCACATTATTAAAGCAATATTGAAATTCTTCTTTTTAGATAATAGCCGCAGTAGATTCTGTTTCCTACTGATACTGTTACATAGACGGTAAACTTTGTCAGGAGTTTGATTTATGTGAACAGAAGTCAGCGAATTTGTATTTAGTTAGATATTCAATATTGCTAATGTTTATTCAACAGTATCAAAATCTCCTTGTAATCTATGGTCATCCCAATAATATATTACATGGAAAAATTACTATCATAATGTATTTATACAGTCACCTTAAATAGATATATCTCAATCAAATTTCAATTTCATTTAATTTATGATATAAAATACGTTTTATCTTGTTGATGCTTATAGAAAAAAACCTTATATTTCATCACTGTCTTAAGAGACAGTCTTCAAAAGGTACAGCCTAATTGTCAAAGTACAAATTCTATTAAACTGAATTAACAAAACATATAACATGTTTACCTTTTGTATATTTCAAAATATACCTGTATGTAGTAAGATATATAACTATTATAACTCACCCTGTAAAAGGCTAAAGGAGTCCAAGTCACTTTAAATCCAAGATTTGAATAAAGTCTCTGTAGTGTTAACTCATTGATAAACAGTAAAAGTAGTGGATAGTTAGTGTAGTAATCTGTATGTTATACTAGCTGTAATAATGAATATATCCACTAAGAGCTGCTAGTACTACAACAACTGACACATCCCATGCTAAGCTAGTTCCAATTCTAACACTGGTAGTGGCAATTTGGGCTGTTTCAAGCAGCTGTCCAATCAAGTGTGATGTGAAGCAGTGATTACAAGCCTGTTACTCGGCACAGCAAACCTGATACTCTTATCCTTTCATGTCTGTCTTGCTGTGTCCAACTAGCCTGTGTGCGTGTTGGTGTCTTCTGCATTGACATAAGCCTCGAGGCCGGCTTTTATATCACACTTTAAAAACTGAACATATTTGATATGCACTTTGCTCAAACACAAAAGAATAGTGATTTTTTGAATTGAAACTTGGCATGAATGGACTGCTTGTTTTTATTGGCTTGGAGGTAAATATGTAAATATTAAAATAAATAAGTGTATGATGACCAATTGATCTGAGTCGTGTTAGAATAGGGTAAATACGATAAACCTGCTTCAGCGTGCCTTAGAAATTAAGACAAGTCAGTTTCAAGAGGCAGTCTTCCTTTTCTTTTCTTTTTTTAGGATTTATAAGATTGCTTCTGTTGTAGAAATTCAGTACTTATGTTTATTTGTTTCTTAATAAAAAATCTGTCTTCTTTATCTATTAAAAATTATCGCATGTATCATGAGTGAAAATTATTATTTTCTCGGTTTGTGTAGTTTAAAACAAAAAGGCAGAAAACATACTAAAGAGTATGAGAATGTTATTGGTACAAGGTGTTCTAGTAGAATAATCATATTCTGCACACAAGGAAGGCTCATCATACCAACTTTTTCAGTATTCTTAACCCATTTTTTGCCAAAAATTGGGCGTTCTAGGAGAAATGCAGTAACATTATAAAAATTCTGAATTAATTTGTGTCTGGGAGAGAGGGTGTGTGTGTTTGCAATACATCTTTTATTAGGGCACTCCCATCTTCCTGATAAAGTTGTTGTTTATTAATCACATGAAGTGAAGAAAGGTTTCTTAATATACACACAACCAATTGTTTGCTTTGAAAATATTGACTACTCAGTATGTGTCTTGTACACTAAAAATTATGTATATAATTTTTTGTTTGCATACTAATTCATCCTAAAAGAACTATATTTTTCTTGACGGCATTCTCATACCTATTAGAACTTATGTACTGTAACCTTTGACTACAATAATCTCCTCATTTATACCTTGTATGTGCAAATTTTCAGAATTGTTCTTGAAAAGCAGTGTGTCTGAAACTATGATTCCATCAGTGACAAATGTTGGTCTACATATCTGCCTACTCTTTTTTATATTCCACAATTGCAGATTGTATTCAAAATGTTGGTTGCGAAGAGTAGTTGTAACTCTTGTTGATTTTCTCAAGAATATACATGAAGAAATTTTGACTTTCATGTGCAAATATGGATGACTTTTCCATTCTGCCTATTAACCATAGGATGTAGGTAGGCCTGTGGATTCTGATACAGTGTCTTGGAAACAGCAGATCAGAATATTCAGTGCAAGAAGAATACACATACAAACTCCAAGTAAAGCTTTAAAGATCGGGGGGCCTGTTTCACGAAATTTTACCTAAGATAAAATCCAAATTTTAGTAATATGATTGGATAATATTTGATTGATCTTAGTGCTTAGCCAATCAAAATTGAAGTATCTACTAAAATTTGGATTTTATCTTTAGTTAAAATTTTGTGAAACAAGCGCCGGCTAAAGTACCATGCTACAAACAAAATATTTATGAATATTATACACTTAATGTACTCACTACTATGCAATTCTTTATGTTTACAAGATTACATTTTATTACTCAAAACATTGGGGGGGGGGGGGGAGGGCGTGTCTAGTAGTTTAACGCGTGCACGTAAAATCACAAGGTGTGTCATTGAGTCAAGTGGCGTAGTTTTGATTCCCCGCTTGTACGGGATAAGGAGTAGGGTTGCCTGTCCAGCCTTGTGGGTTTCTCGAGTCCTCCAGTTTCCTCTCAGTACTAAAGACCCCTATGCACAAGCGAATTATTGAAAAAAAAAAAATAGAACCATATATGTTAGTTATGAAATGACCTAGTTCCTGTTGAGTGGACATTAAACCCTGTTTATCTCTCTCTCTCTGCAAACCATTGGATGATACTTAGGATAGGTGAATTTCACATTTTTTTACCATGGGCAAAGAAACCTAGGTAAACAATAGAATTATAAAGCTAATTTTACCTGGTTCTGTTTGATGTACACCTGTCATAAAGACATATGGAGAGGATGGGATTTCTTTAACTAGCATTTACATTAACTTTACACAGACTTTAAGTCAACTACTATGATATTTATTGTCAATATTTGAAAATGTAAAACATTTTCTAAAGTAAACTTAGAACTGAATATAAGACCAATAAGTGCTGCTTAAGTGCCATTGGTGTCAATTTAGGACTGATAATATATAAGCCCCCAAACGACATCGAATAATGAAAGATCAACTTATATTAAAGAAGGGTAGCCTGTTTGATACAGAAACGTTGAATGTTGAACCCCATTTCATTTCAAATCAACAAAAAATGACATTTCTGGGGTCAGGACACCTAGATCCACCTGGTGAAAAAAGTAAGTCAACATCTCTTAAAAATGATTTAAAGTTATCAAACAATATTTCCAGAGTTGCACTTGGATTATCACTGATGTTTTCTCATAATGTATACTTCCAGTTGTTTTCTTTGATGTATTTGAATGCAGTCAATTCATATAGAAGTTATCATGATCTATTGTTATGAACAGAAATTGATGAGCTACTTCCTTTTAGTGCACCACACATTGGATGATTGAGCACCTTTAAACATGACAAATATCACACATTAAAATATAAGAGGTTTACTAAATACATAATGCAGTGAAATATTTGTTCATGTGGATCGTCTAGGATATTATCAAGTGGGTATTTTGTCGAACTATTATAATATAACATTATTAAATGATTTTATTTGATATACAGCTATTTTATCATAGGTCAGGGTGTGTCAAATCTACTTGTCAACCCTATCATTACTCTTTCAACAGCCAGGTTAGTTGAATGAGGAGGATGGTTTTTTTTTATCAAAACTAAAATGTCTGCAAATTCAAGTACCCAGTAATGCTTGTCATTCTTTTGATAGTGATAAACCCTGAAATTTTCAAATGATATAATATGATATTTGGTAATAAAATATATTCAGTTGAATGCACTTTGAAGGGAGTTAGAAAGTTCTGTCGGAAAATATATTATTTGCATTGAAAATGAGCGTCTGATATGGGGCACTATAACATTAAGATGGTTATCCAGAAGACTAAAATGTCCTGGAGTTAAAGACTAGTTAAATTGTGTCGTGTAATCAATGGATCCTCAGAAACTGTTGTTAAATGACCAAACTATATTATTATTCACAAGTTGAATAGCATCTCTCTAGAAAGAATTAATATATCCTGCTTTAGGCACAACAACCTGCCCTTTCTGTCGCTTCAGAATCCAAAACCAATTGGTGAAGTTAACATCTGATCAGTGACCCCCTGCAGTGTTGCCAAGTTGTGTATACATGATAATTTGACATTTTAGGTCGTGTCAAGCTAAAGTTATTCAGTTTTTTGTTAAAATTGTTAGCTTAGTACAAACTGTCTTTCTAATAAAAACGTAATCTACGTCTACATTTCATTTTGTTAATTATTGTAATCAAACACAATACAACCTTTTAACAATGGGAAGATACCGAATATGAATACAGAAAAAGAGACCATTTAAATTTTCAGTATATTTCTTTGTATTTTGTACGATGGAACCAAATACTTGAGAGAAGAATATTATTGACATGCACCATGATATAATGTTAGTCAAGTTTGTTATAATACATGTTTGAAATATTAGATGGCAGAAAATAAATATTAACATAACACTTAATGTTTGCTTTAAAACTTGGATGATAATTGTTAGAAATAAATCTGTGATTCTTTGTTTAATTTACAAACATGATCTAAAGATTTATTCAAATGATAAAAAATATATCTTCAGTAAGATTTGTGGCCCGATTCTAGTCTAAAATTCCAATTTAGAACAGAGTGAGGATTCCAGATCTTTTGTGCATGATGGCCTTCTGAAAAGGGGAACAATATATGGGTGGAGCAAGGCAAAAGACCATTAAAACCTCATTACAAAACAGCCATTTGCCCTTGTCTTTGACATAGTTTAAGTAAATATTTCTTTGTTCAACTACAGCAGAATTGTACTGGATGTGGGATGAACGAAACCAGTGATCATATTATGCCCTGGCAAATATATATTGCATCAAGTTTAAAGGCATTTTGGTCATTTCTACATCATTTGTGTTTTATCTGGATGCTATGTAATTTTTGCTTAGGCATTACTACCTTCATGAATTCTTGTTTTGCCATCATAGCTACAAGTTGTTCATATTCCTGAAGTATTCGTGTTAACACTGACACACATGATATGGTAAAGTGTTGTTTCTGATAAGTTATCTTCCATTGATAACTGTTCGAAATCTTTATACAAAATTGTTGTAATTGTCGTATTAGTATATTTTTAGAACCAATAGTTGGGGATTTAACCACCCAAAATCTTTGCTGATTCTTTCTGTCACATGGCTCTGATTTGTTGGCAAATAAACTTGTTAGACTAGTGACAACAATTGACTGATTTAACAATGGTCATTGCCCTGATAATTCTTATAGACTTTGCTTCAGTATATTATGCAAGTTGGTGTGGGAGTTATGCAAACTTCTGGACCCCCTGATAATTTCCAGAAGTTTTCATAGGATTTAATGTTGCCACTGTACAAAAGGTTAGTTATTTCTAGTGTTCATGCACCATTTGTTTGTCTCTAATAAGCCTTCTGTTCTCGGAGCTGTTTCGGGTATCTGTTTATACTACTCAAGATTTAACCGCTCCTATTTCGGAACCATTCCTGGCATGCTTAAATGTGGTAATATAAACAGGGTTTTAGATTGCCAACCTATCAGAACTGTTCCTATCATAATCAGTTACAGAGCAGTTTCTAGAAGTGAACTCCGGACTTGCATATAAAACCAACTGAGTCACATTGGGACTCTTATAGTTTTATTGAATTTATCACCTCATTTTGCCATAATTCATAGTTATTTTACAGACATGAAAAAAAAAACAATTAAATAAATGTTTTATTTTAGATGTTGATCAACTAAAACATTGTAACATTATTATATTGATGTGATTTATTTGATAACTATCCCATTATCAC